ATATCCAACATGCAAAGTAATTTGGTTTTAACATTAAATATACTTTTATGCATCAGAAAATTTTGAAATTTCACAAGTGAAATTTTATAATGTTTAGATAGTTAATAAACATTTCTTAAGAAAAACTTTATATTTTATCTGTTATTTTCAGTTACGAATCTTTGTACAGGTTCGGTAGATTCGTCCGATCTCGTAACGACCATAAAAAATTAGGAAATACATATAAATTATGCCTCTTTCATTCTAGAATGAACACAAATTATAACACGAAAACATAAATGTTTAGACTAAATAGCTTCAATCTCATAACATTATACATTTATATATATATATTTATTTTTATTATATTGAACTTTCACTTATGCCTGGCTAACAATACAGAAATTACAACGATGCAGCTAAATATATAGTTGTTAACAGAGACTCTGATGCAAAACCTAAAAGACTAAAAAAATCAGCTACTGAAAACTTGTTTAGGGATATCTTCATTGTTGAAGATGAACCAACAAAGTCCTTGGTTCAAAGAGTTGAGTATGAAATTGCTATTGATAAGTCAGAGATTAGCATAGCCCTGACAAAAAGAGCATAAAATTCTACTCCTTTAGTTAAAATATACTTAGGTATACTGGCAACAGCTGACACTATAAGATTGATTATATATATATACTTCTGATTACTTCCACGTTACACCGTGAAGCTGAGTTACAGTGACTTTGATCAGTTTGATTACTTCCATGTTACATTGTAAAAGCTGAGTTATAGTGACTTTGATCAGTTTGATTAGAAAATTATAGTAAATGACTCAATATTTGGATGGATATTTGAAATGCTGTAGAGATAATGTGCTTAATTAGTGTTCATGCTAAGCGTTTAAAGATTGCATGTAATGCTAGAAGTCTTTAGTTATCAAAAATGTTAAACTTCCAGATGGGTAAGTAAATAAACATTTGGAAGTATAACATTACATGCTATTGGTAGTTCTTCATGTGTAAATTGCTGTTAAAAGAAACAAACTTTTCTATCTAATGTTTTTTTTTGTTTTTACCTGGCTTTTTTCTTGAAATGAAATCATTTTTATGGTATACTCGAAACTACAAATATTTATCAACATGATATAATGAAGCTTACATGTATACATATGATTTGTTTGATCTTAAACACACAAACACACATTACTTCTGTAAACTGTACACACAACTTCTTGGACTTTAAAAAAAAGATAAAAATGTTAGAAATATCTTTAGGTACCTGTTTCACACTGATCTTCATCTTACCTGTTTCACACTGATCTTCATGATAAAAATGTTAGAAATATCTTAAGGTACCTGTTTCACACTGATCTTCATCTTACCTGTTTCACACTGATCTTCATGATAAAAATGTTAGAAATATCTTTAGATACCTGTTTCACACTGATCTTCATGATAAAAATGTTAGAAATATCTTTAGATACCTGTTTCACACTGATCTTCATGATAAAAATGTTAGAAATATCTTTAGATACCTGTTTCACACTGATCTTCATCTTCTTGTCCAAACTCTAATTCTCGAAGTTCTAGTTCAGCATAATTATCATATTCTGTTTGAAAATCGCCCCTAGCGGGCATATATCCTGCCATATCTCGGTGCAACTGGGAGTCAAGGGCTGGACGCGGTGGGTCTTCACCTAATGTAAACACAGCAACGCAACGAGTAATTTGATTTGATAAAAAAGGAAACAGGAAGTTTTTATAATAGATTTTACAAAATATTTTCTTTACTGATGAATCTTCAACACTTGTGCCACTTACAATAAAAGCATTTGATAACATCTGTGTGGGTTTTAAAAACACAGTTTCTTCCAAGTTTACTCCACAATTACAAGCCTTTTATCTTTAAATCATAAAATTTTGAGAATGTGGATAATGATAAATACAGACTCTCAGAGAAGAATGAGATACAAATACTTAAGCCTCATTCTTTGTTAACAATTCATAATTATTTTGGATCACAACAAATTATCCCCACCCCAAATACATAAACATGAACAAAACAAGAAACAATACTAGCAAATTATACCTGTCTACTAATACTGTTTGTCCCTGAAGGAAAAAGGTCCACCTTTTGAAAGCTCTTGGGTTATAGGGGTTTTTATCATCTCGTATCAAGACTTCTTGAACCTACGTGTTGTACTATTATTTAGTTATATTACTGTGTAACTTCAGAACTGTCTGCACTTATGATACTGTTTTAATATTTTAAATATTGTATGGTAGAGTTTAACATAGTGTGATATATATATAATAAAATGATAGTTATGGAAGCATAGGTTCTAGAGTTATCCAATTAGTTAAGCACATTAAATTTTAAGTCTGTTTGTAATAAGACGTACGAGACAATTAGTGAATAAGTGCAACTTCTATTGAGATGTTTTCTTTGTGAAGTAGGTCTATCATTACTTGTGTAAAAGAATGTACTACTTCTAGAACTTAAAGTCTGAGAAATAAAACAGTTTTGGTGCTACAATAGTGTGCAGTCTACAAAGATATTTATACTGTAACGCGTAGTCTACACAGATACTATCATCATCATCATCACCGTTTTAATGATTCACTAAAACATAATTTCTTGCTAAATAATTTATATCTATCCATGTTTTTGTTCATCAAATAATAATAATTTAATGAGTTGTGTGTTCTAAAAGAGTACCTTAAATTTAGGTTCTAATTGTGCTAGTTTTGATTGTTGGTA